ACTCACTCACCCACTCACTCACTCACTCACTCACTCACTCACTCACTCACACACACTCACACACACACATTTACAGAGGGCCTGCTCTGTGTTTTCTGACGCTGTGTGTGTGTGTTTATTTTGTTCTCCACAGACTTTCCCACGCGCACAGATCTGCCATCAAGGTCATCAGACGGATGCAGTATTTTGTGGCTCGACGGAAATTTCAGGTACTTTTATTTTGTATGTCAGAATCAAGAGATCAAGTGCAGTTTCATATATATATATATATATATATATATACTGTATATATATATTATTTTTATTTTATTTTTTTACAAATTTATTTGTTAAAGATTAATTGTGTAATGAAATTTCATTACATCAAAGTATTTTTTTTTTCATTTGAATTGCACAACAACTAAATTGAAACTATAAATATGCACTAAAATATTAATAAAAATTCAATATAATTATAGAGAAAATAACTTTAGTTTTCATGCTTTCAATCAAAGAGCATATTTCATGAAACACAAGCAGAACAAATGTTTAAACGCTCATAAATCTACTGCAAACAAAATAATTTTGTGAATAATTTACAAAGAAATTTGCTCTTGTAAACCACCCAATTAGTCAAGAAGTTACAAAAACAGTTTATTATTTACATTTATGCATTTAGCAGACACTTTTATCCAAAGCGACTTACAAATAAGCACAAATATGCACAAATACGTTTTCAGTCAAAACTGAGACACATTGCATACCTTTGCTATTGTTGTTGTTGAGTTAAACTGAGCTATAATAACAAAGCGTGGAAGTTAAGGCCCAGGGGACCCGAAATATAGTCGCCTGTGATGACAATGGCTCTGATGGATGCCGTCTCTGTCCCGCAGCAAGCGAGGAAACCGTACGACGTGCGGGACGTGATCGAGCAGTATTCGCAAGGCCACCTGAACATGATGGTCCGCATCAAAGAGCTCCAGAGAAGGTGAGACTCCTTCCCACAAAACCAATGGCGTGGGCGGAATTCCAAACAATCGCTGTGCATTTCACAGTTTCCTGCTGTTTTTCCTCTCGCAGGTTGGATAACACGTTGGGAAAACCGGGAATATTCCTGCCAGGTAAAGGAAAACTGAGTTTTTAAATATTCCCACATCAAATACACTTTCTCAATGCACGAATAAAGCAAAAACTAAGCACAAAATCATATTGAAATGCTTCCGTGATCTATTATACTCGCTTGTTTAATAAAAGAGTTTAATGTACTGTCTAACAATAAACCCAGACCGTTAACTGAAACTAAACTGCAAACATGGAAACACAGAAACTATCGTGATTATGACATCACATACATCTCATTAACATCTCATTACAGCAACTTTACCCACTTTGAACATAACTTATGTCGCTATACAGATGTTAGCCAATCAGAGGTCTTTTACATATTAAATGACCTAATAATAATGGAAATACATGCAAATACAGAAGCCATCATAATTATGACTTCACATCCATCTTATTACCATGCAATAATTCATTACAGCAACTTTACCCACTTTGAACATAACTTATGTCGCTATACAGATGTTAGCCAATCAGAGGTTTTTTACATATTAACCCCTTAACTGTCACCCCTCATTTTTTAAAATAGACATGCAGGTGCACTATCCAAACTTAAATTGTTGTAATTTAAGAAGAAAATCCGCAGATTATCGCAAAAGTGGAATGTTTTCAAAAAGTTTAAGTATCAAAAAGTTATGGTAGTTTAAATTTACTGTAAAGAAAATGCACTATATTAATTTTATTTTATTTTATATATAATAAATATTTCACATAACAGGTTTTACTCTAAAATTGGTATAAAATCAAAGCCTTATGTCTAAATAAGTTATGTTCCAAATTTGAAGTTGATATGAAAAAAATCGAGGTTCCTGTGAGATTTTATTTAGGGCGTTATACCACAAACAGCCACTGGGTGCCATCCAAACTCCATTTAATTTTTTTTTAATGCATTTAATGTCACAAATGTCTAGATTTCTCTGTCAATATTACTATCTCAAAATAACCACCAAATATGGAATCCTGAGACTCAGACCTTTCCAATTATATGTTTTTTGTCAAGATTATTTGTCAAGACCGTAATGCATTTTGTAATATGACACTTGACACTGCCCACTAAGGGGGAGGAGACCGCCAAAAGAATTTAAAGTACCATTTCCATGGTAACGCAATGTCCGATTGGAAATACATGCAAATACAGAAACCATCATAATTATGACTTCACATCCATCTCATTACCATGCAATAATTCAATTCAGCAACTTTGCCCACTTTGAACATAATTTATGTCACTATGCAGATGTTAGCCGATTGGCTAATAGAATACATACATGCAAATACAGACATCACATCCATTACATTAACACACAAACCTCCCTTATTTACATATAATGAATAATTAAGAATAATTCAGCAACTTGAAAAGACCAAGATGGATAGAGAAGATTTGTTTGTGAATAAGCGGTCGGTTTACATTTAACAGAAACTGAGGAGATTGTTAACAGGGATGCAAACTAGACACCTCTCGCAGAAAATCACCATTTTCTCATTTGTGCGAGCGATTCCAGTAGATCCGATCAGTTTTTGAGAACTCTTGATACTTAATTCTTCAGTACAAAACAGTGCTGAGCTTTGACAAAAAGTGATTTTATAATGTCTAAATATAAATCCAAATTGGCAACTAAGCCCATGAGTGATCTGGTTATAGTGGTAATATCATTTTCAATTTAAAAGTGTTTGTTTTCCACCAGATGGCAGAAATCTTCCACTTAAGCACATTTTCAAATAACTATCTGCATGAATTAAAAAAAATATATAAGAAAAAAATGCAGCTTTTTTTAAAAAGTGAATTTAACATATAATATTACTATTTTATATGAAAGTATATTTAAAAAATAATCATTTTGAGACAAATAAATTATTATAAAAAATATGATAAATCCCTCCAAAACAGCGTAACTAAAAAGTGAGCATTATCACATGTGTTGTTTGAAATAATAATTAGACGAAGAAAAAAACCCCACCTTTTTTCACACCTGCTGAGTTTACAACTTTCCAAGCACAAGCTAGTTACCAGGCTTTTGTTTGGGCAATTGTGCCCTGCTCCCATATTCACATATAACTAATAATTCAATATACAGCATACTTTACCCACTGAAAATAATTTACGCAGATGTTAGATGCCAATCAGGGGTCATTTACATATTAAAGTCTTGAAGATACAGTATCAAAAACTACCTGCTTAAGTATAAGGATGGGAAATAGAAAATAGATTGAAAAAGCGAATTGTGATACGATAAGACTGTGAAGAATATGAAAAATTATATTTGAAAAAAAAAAAAAATTAAATATGAAAAAAATTGATATACAGTATGACTTATATATTGAAGTTTTGCCTTATACTTGAAGAAAATGAAAGAAGCCTTTTATATGAGCAGGGTGTTTCAATAAAACACTATTAACATCGGCTTTTGACTTCTACATGCAGAAAATAATTACTTCTGACTGTCTTATTATTTCTCTTTGTTGTGATTTTAGAGAAAGGTGTGGATAAGGAGTATTATACGGTGGGAGCCCGGCTCATCCGATTGGAAGATAAGGTACAATATAGACTTTTTAGCCTGAATTTGTCACCAGAATGTGACTTTCTATATCCGTTAGTTCATTCTACTGAGCGAGCGATCTCAGAGAGTGCTGAGATTTCACATATTATCATAAACAACAAGCCTCAGTTAACTCTTTCTCTGTCTTACTCACTCACTGATGGTGTCTGGGTCCTCTGGTTGAAAGCGTAATCTGCTCGTGTGTTTAAATTCATAATTAAATAAATGCATATGATATATCGATTGGAGTTATTTGGTATTGATATATCTTACCTTATTAATATTATAATTAATTTTCAAAAATTGTGATCTCACCTACAATAAAGAGTTTTATTTTGTACTAAAATAATATTTAATTTCTTGATTCTCATTGGTCAGTTTCTACTTTATAAAATCAGTTTTTTTTTTATAAATTATAATCAGTTTCCTGCGTGGTTTTGCTGGTTTCATGTCTAATGTGTAATACAATATTATACTAGTACTGCATATATATATAATGTATTTTATAACTTTTAGTCATTATATATATTGTACATATACTAAATTGTGTATGTATGTGTGTGTGTGTGTATATATATATATACATATATATATATATATGTGTGTGTGTGTGTGTGTGTGTGTGTGTATGTGTGTGTGTATATATCCTTATGAAGTTATATTAGTTATTTTATTTTCATAAAATAGTTGTGTAATAATAGTTATATCAGTAGATGTAATATTTACATTAATTTAATATATATATACTTTATATATTGACTTTAAAGTATATAATTTATATATAATTATATTAAAAATGTGTTAATAAAATTAATTCTAATGAACAAAATTAATATAATAATATTTGAATTTAAATAATTGATAATAACAACAACATATAATTAGTAATATATTTATATACATATAAAATAAATGTTTACTTATTAATAAATATATACTTATTAATTTAATTAATTATTTGTTTACATAAAATAACTGGGTAATAAGCATAAAAAAAGTGAATTTGCTAAAAACAGGGCCATGAGCACAGAAAGGCACTAGCATGTGTTTTTTTTCTCCCCGCGTGTGTCTGTTGTTGAGAGACAGACTGTATTTAGTATTTAGACTGAATCATGCTGCCGTTACTAGGTGGGTCTCTACTGTCTGGCTCTTCATTAGGGCACCTGTGATGAATCTCAATCACTGAGTAGCCTCTTATAGTTTCATACATTCACAACCATATGCATAATAACATATGACAGCCACCGATTCAGTCTGAGCTGGAAAGTTTGAGCTGTTGAACTAGACTAGACCCGACTAGACAGCATGTGTGTTGTTCATTTCACATTTAAACAGACATTTATATAGACATCTTAAAGGGACAGCAGCACAAAAAATGCCTGTTTCACTATGTGTTGTACTATGTGTTCCTGTGGCTCAGTGGTAGAGCATTGCGTTAGCAGCGCAAAAGGTCGTGGGTTCAATTCCCAGGGAACACACATACTGGTCAAAAATGTATAGCCTGAATGCACTGTAAGTCGCTTTGGATAAAAGCGTCTGCTAAATGCATAAATGTAAATGTACTTCAGTTTGGTGAAGCTGTCAGAGGAAGTGTAGAGATGTGATCTCGATCGCTGCAGTTTGATGTTTTGACTGCAGAGGAAGTAAAACGAGAGTGATAGGGAGCGAGAGAGAGACTTGTCGTGGCAAGCCGATGGTGGTTTTCGCTCGATTGACCCCTGAGGGCAACAGGTGGGTGAACTGAGTGACCCGCACACATCTGGATCTGGATCTCTCGCTGGAGCAATACACACAGTATACTACAACAAGCCTAGTGTGTCGCATGTGTCTCCTCTAGACTTTCAGAAGGATCTCACACTGCATTTGGATTATAGTCTGAGATCTCAATATGAATTCGTTTAATGCCACGTTCTTCCAAAATGGCAACTATTAAATCATTTGTTTTTGTTTATATCATTTATTTCTCCTCATAAATTTTAGAAGTTGATGTTTAAATACACCCGAGAACACCATTCACCATGAGCAACATCTGAGCAAAATAAAATAAAATTCTACTTCGATATACTGAAAGAATTCACAGTCGTGATAATATCTTCAAATTATTTTATTTTATTTTATTATTCATTATATTATATTATATTATATTATATTATATTATATTATATTATATTATATTATATTATATTATATTATATTA